AGGATGGGGATAGCGGGGAGGGGGCGCATCGGGATGGGGGAACTGGGATGGGGACAGCAGGATGGGGATAGCAGTGGGGGGGCACATCGGGATGGGGGCGCCAGGATGGCAAGACCGGGAACAGGGAGTCGAGATCTCCAGGGGCACTAAAGAGGGGACGGAACACTGGGATGGGGGGCACCAGGGCCCCAAACCACGGGGATATGGAGATGCCCCTCAGGGTGCTCTGGCTGCAGGAGAGAAGGGGAGAAGCCACCGTGGGACCGCTGGGCAGCCACAGCCCATCCCCAAATTTCCCAGGGAAAAGGCGGGGGGGCTCTATGCACAGTGGGGTTGTCCCCAGGAAGGTTTGGGGACSTCCAGCAGCAGCCACCTCCCCCCTCCCCAACACTGCAGGAGCTGGAGGGCAGGATCTGCCCCCCCCTCCATTTCCCCCCTGGATTTGGGGTCCAGGAGCCCAAAGAGGGGGGGCTTCGTGGCCAGGGGGGCTCTGGCTCGGCCTCTTCATTGTCCCTTCCCAGAACAAAGGTCTCYGTCCCCGGAGCCGGGTGCCGTCCTGGGGACACGCGTGGCCGTGAGGACACAGTGTGGGGACACACGTGTGTTGGGGACACGCAGGGTGGAGGACGCAGGGGGACCAGGAACAGCGGGTAGAGGACACACAGGGACGCGGACACGCTCTGCCGCTCGCGCATCCCCTCGCRCGCGAATCCCGGGGCCAGAGCCCARGCCCCACCATTCGTATCCGAGGAGGCCAATTAAATCGCACGTGCTGGGAATGTCGATGGCCCCGGAGCAGCGGGAGCGGGCTGGCGGGCGGGGGGACCCTTTCCTCACCTGCTCCCATAAATGCTGGCTACCCCCCAGAGGATCTAAGCAGGGGTTAATGAGGGCTTGTTAATTAATGAGGCCTTGCCCAGGAGACCTGTACAGGGAGGAGAGGGGCAGACAGGGCTCAGGCCAGGAGGAGGAGCCCCAGGTTGAGCCCCTGGGGACCCCTCAACACGCACTGATGGGGGACAATCCACCTGCCCCCCCCCGGGGCCGAGCAGCCACGCGGCTGGGCGCGAAGCAGGGACAGGCTCCGCCACCTCCTCTATCCACATCTTTATTAGCTGCCTGYGCACACGGCAAACCCAGCGAGGACCCGGCGCAGCGGCAGCGCCACGGGGGTTAGCGCAGAGCTGCCGGAGCAGCGGCGGGGCCCCCGGGCASCCCGGGGCGGGGGGACAGCCCCAGCCCCACAGCTCGGCTGTACCCCCAGCTCTGCCTTCCGCCCCTGTGCACGCCAGAACTAGCCAGACACGCAGGGCAGGYGGTTATGGAGAGCTAGAGCGGGCCAAGGGGGTGTTGAGGTGACACCACAGGGACACTGAGCTCCTGCCATCCCCACACACCAGGACACAAGGCCCCAGGGTCCCTCCCTGGCAGCTGGAGGGACAGCGACTCCCACCYGCTGGCCCAGGGAAGGCAGAGCAGGGAGAGGGCAGCGGGGACCTGCAGAACCGACACCGCACAACCCAGGCCAGCCCCGGGACCCCCAGTAAGTGATGGGAGCAGAGCTGGGACTCATCCCGCTCCTGGGGCGGCCGGGAGGCAGGGACAGCCCCTCAGTGACAGGGTCAGGACAGGGAGTCATCCACACTCGTCACCCCGCACTGGGGCCGTCATGTTGACAGTGCCAGGCTCAGGGCAGTGCCGTCTGTGCCGCCGCAGCGTCCCCCGCGTGACGACACCGCGACTCCAGCCGGCCAGTGTCCGTGGAAGCGGCAGGGGAGGAACAGGCCACAAGTCCCCGCTCCGGGCGGCGCGTCAGTCGCTGGCGCTGTCCTCGCTGTCTGAATACGTCCCCAACAAGCTGAGGGAGGATGTGGTGCCCGGGACTGGGGGACAGGAGTCTGGAAGCCAAGCAGAGAGCAGACGCCGTGAGGTTTGGCCCTCGCCAAACCGCAGAGCCCCCGGGCCCAGCACAACCTGCCCTGCTCCGTCAGGCACAACAGGGAATCTCAACAGGACCRACAGGGTTGAACGGGGCAGGGGAGACCCCGCACCCTCCTCCTCCTCCCCAGCCGCAGCCTCCTGCCTCACAGCAATGGGAAACGACAGCAACGGTGGCCCAAGGTCTCAAACACCCTGTCCCCAAGTGGGTGACACTGAGAGGAACCTGCTCAGTTGCCCTTTTCCCCCTCAGCCATTGCAGAGTCGGTAGATTTTGCAAGAGGGCTCGAAACCAAAGCAATTTTGTTGCTGTTATTATCGTATCTCACTCTTGTGAATTGTATCTGGGCACCAAGGAGCTGTTTGGAAGCTTTCAACCCTGCCAGYGTCTCCAAGGTCCTGGCTGGCGGCCAGAGGCCAGGAAGGGGCCTCCCCTCTCTGCAGCACATCAGGTGCTGCGTTGTCTCCAGGAAACAAGGACAACCCCCTCTCAGAGCACCACGGTCACATCTGCCCCACAACAAAGACTCGTCCCCACAGCCTTGGTGCTCAGGACAAGGCAGAGCGCAGCAGTGTCACCGCATCCTTCCCCGTCCCTCGCCTCAGACGACACAAGCTGACCCCTGCATGAGCYGGTACCTGCGCTGGCCGTGGCGCCTTGTTTCTCCGTCCCGTTGGCCAGGGTGGCACCCGGCTTTGGCTTCTTCACCGTGACCAGCCCGGCGAGCTGGGCCTTGCTGCTCAACGCGCCCACGCTCCGCTCCCAGCTCTCCGTCTTGGGCTTCTTAGTCTGGGGCTGGGGCTCCTGTGGAAGGAAATGGGGACATGAGAAGGAAACTGCTGAAAGCAGCAGCACAGGGAGCAAGAGACAAGGGAGAGCCTGCTGGAGCAGCCCTTCCTTCCCTGGGGTGACCAGCACCAGCAGGACAAACAGGGATAACGGGWACGGATGCGAACAGCTGCAGAGCAGCCCTTGGGGGTGAACGTCCCGTTGCCTCCCAGTTCTATCTAGGCAGGCAGGGCTGGGGCTGCGCAGCGGGACTGGGCGCCTGCAGGTGGCCGGGTCACCGAAATCAACCTCTCCGGGGCTGCAGATTAGTGCCAGGCCAGGGGACATCGCTCAGATTAACCCAGCCCAGCTCAGAAACAAGGCAKCTTCGATCAGGCTCAACAGACAGAGGTCCCTGCAGACACGGATCGACATCACAAAACGACAGCGCTCGGGGGCCTGTCTGCAGGGATAATCCCTCCCCTGGAACCGAGCGCTGAAAGCTCCTTTGTCCTGCCTGGCTCCGGCACAGAGCYGGACAGAACTGAAGGACAGGCCGTCCCAGGCACTCGTTTTGCTGCTGCTAATTTTCCAGAGTGGTGAAATCAAATCCAAGGGATGACCGAGGCACTGGCAAGAGCATCCTTTGTGAGATGCCAGGGGAGGGGAGCCACATCCACAGCAAGAGCAGAGGTGAGCTGCCTCCCAGCCGAAACCATCACCTTTTTCATCAGATTCCAGTTAAAATCACCAGCTGATCCCTGTGGCATTTCAATCYAGCACGCGGGGACAGCAGCTTTGTAGGTTGCTCACGCATGACAGGCACTAGGACTCCAGCCCCCACGCGGAGCAGGGGCAGGAGGGACAACACGCAGCCACTCAGGGCAGCAGTTAGGGCTTGGGGGAGGAGATGCAGCAAGGGGCAAAGCTCCGTGCCCGCCCTCACCTCCTGCAGGATGTCTGTGGGTTTCAGTTTGGCCGCGGGCTTCGCGGGGCCTCTAGCGGGCTCCTGGGCAGCGTCGGAGTCGAGCAGCAGCCGCCGGCTCTGGGCCTGCTCCAGCATCGCCCTGCGAGGAGGAAGGGCTGGAGGCGGCTCRGCGCCCAGCTCTTTGTTGCGAGGGCGACGCGAGCTCAGCGGCTCAGCAAGGATCCAGTTGCTCGGGTGCTTTTTATAACTCCTCACCGGGAATCAGGTCCCAGCAGTCACCCTGATCTCCCCATCAGGGAGGTGATCAAGTTCCCCGATCTGCCCCAAACGCGCTTCCCTCTCCCACCCCGAACACCCACCCGTGACAAACGGCCCCAGATGTCCCCACAGCCCAATCGGGACAACATCCCACCGATCCAGCTCCCCCAAAGTCATCCCCTCGAGCAGCATTTCCCTTAGCCCTCACTCCACGGCCCTGGGGCTGCCGAGCAGAGGCCCAGCCGCAGCCCTGCCTGCCCAGCCGGTGTCACACGCCCAGGGACCCTTCCAGCCCACTTACTTCATCTCCTGCTCATCCTCCTCTTGCTCCTTGCGCTTCTGCTCCTCCTCGTACTCCTTGTACTGCTTCAGCATGGCCTCAAAGTCCACATTCGCCTGGCGCTGATTGAGCTCCTTCAGCTCCTGCAGGTTCTCCARAACCTCCATCTCCAACTTGGAGTCYTTGGTTCGATTCTCCAGGACCTGGGTGAGGAAGATGAGGAGGAAGCCAAGGTGAGGTGAAACAGCAGGACCCACCAGCAAGGTCTGACACAGCCCCTATGCCAAGGACAGCTCAGAWGGCACTAACAAGCCTAACTTCCATGCCTTAAAATGCACAATAGGAGCAAACTACAACCTGTCACAAGTTACAGCATGGAAAAACCTCCTGGAGGCAGGAAAAGGGCTCCTGTCTGTCTGTTTGGGCTCCAAGAAATGCCCTGGAGCACAGCAGTACCTCAGGAGCCTGAAGAACTAAGCTGGCAGCTACCAGAGTTTCCTGCTCTGCGCAGGAAAGGCCGCTGGAGCGGGCAGCRGGTCTGCGTGCTGCAGAGAAGGGCACGCGCCAGTACCTTCATAGGGTTGTTCAGCTCTTCGTCTTCCCTCTCCTTCTGCATTCGCTTCTCCTCTTCCTCCAGGAGCTTCTCYGCTTGGAAGTTGCGGGTGGCCCCGTGCTCCATGGTGTAGTCCGTGTTCTCAGGATCTGTCTATGGAAGAAGGGAAATGGTCACCCTAGGGGAATCCTCCTGCAGGCATTCTGCCTAAAAACGTCACTTCAGAGCCGCACAGGAACGTCTTCCTGATCTGTGTTTTTTCATGGCATGTGCAGGCAACCACCTGCACCCTCAGTGTTCTCCTATGGGTGATTTGCCACTAACCCCTRTCCCTGTGATAAGAGACATTTCAGGGCTACAGACTGCTCCAAATAAGGGAAAAACCATCAAACAGCACACACTCCAATTCTGTCTTTGCTGGGATACCCCAAGAGCCCAGAAAATCCAGAACCATCCAAAGAAACTTCACCTTGAACGTGATCTCTGCCAAGCAGCGCGTGCACTTGATGTAGAAGCGGAAGATGGGAAGCCCCAGGTACACCTCGTTCTGCACAGTCTCCTTACGGGCGTTGAACTTCTTCCCCTTGTAGATGTACTCGCCACACGTCTTGCACCTGGGAACAGCATCAGGGAAGTCCGCAGCACATCAAAGGAAGAAAACAAAAAGCCTGAGCAAACCCCAAGTGATTCCCAGGCCGGGTCAGCGCAGGTTCTGCCCAGCGGTTGTTTTTGTCCTTTGTAAGCTCTGCACGTATTCCCCGAGGAGCCCCCAAACGTCCCCCAGCCTCTTCTTGGGGACGGAGCCACCGCGAGGGGCGGCTCCGCTGCTGGCCAGGGCAGCCGGGCGAAGGCCAGACACGCTCCCCTCTTCTCGGGCTGCCTCCCCCCGGGCCCCTCTTACCGCATGTTGAAGGGAGCCATGAGCCGCACCACATACTGCCGGTCCTTGGGGAGCTTGAGCTTGGGGATCTTCGCGGGGTCGAAGTCGGGCGGGTAGTATTTCTGGGGGGGCAGAGCAGAGGCGCGTGCTGGGCGCGGAGGGGCGGCAGCCTCAACCCCTGCGACCTCCCCCGGCCCCGAACACCCCCCTGGGCCAGGGACCCCCCAGCACCTCCTGCCCCGCGCCCCCCCAACCACGCGGGACCCCCACACACACACACAGCCCAAGGACCTTCCCCAGGACCCCCAGCCGGCGGAGCCCCAAAGCCCCCGCCCCGGATCAAGGACCCCCCTCCGGACCCCTGGGACCCCAAAGACCCCGGACCCCCCAAAGACCCCCCTCCTCTCCCACAGGACCAGAGCCCCGGGCCCGGTCGCTGCCCCCAGCCCGCCCCCCCCCCAACTCACGTTCAAAACCTTCCGTTCCGACATGGCTGCCGCCCCCCTGCCCGCACCCGCGCGACGTGACGCGCCCCCAGCAACCGCCCCTTCCTCTACTTCCTGGAAACAACCCCCGCCCTCCGACGTCACTCATTGGTGCGTACATCACCGCCGGCAGAGCCTATTGGCTACCTCTGCTGCCTGTCGGCCAACCCCGCCCCCGCGGGCTCGGTGTGCTCCAGGCCGAGTGCCCGTGCGCGCTCCGCGGGCGGAGAGGAGCGTTCCGGGCGGGGGAGGCCCGGGTCGGGTCCGCCCAGGCCTTATAGGGGCCATAGGGACCGCAGGGAGCTGCCCGGGCCATGGGCACCACTGCAGGCCCGGGAGTGGAGCCCAGTAGGGCCAGCACGAGCCCACAGGGACCCGCGCAAGCCCTTCATCCCTGTGCCCCTCCCCGGTGTCTCGTGCCACCCCCACCCAGCCCCCGCAGGGACCGGGGTCCCCTCTGCCGCCCCGGGCTCCTCCCGACCCCGCGGGGAGCAGAGAAGGAGACGCGGGCGCTTCGGGAGGCGCTTTATTCAACGCGTGGGGCTGGGGGACGGGGACTCCCCAGTTCCGGGGTCCCTGGGGTTGCGGTGGGGGACGGGAGGGGGTCACCAGGCCTCAGGGGTGCCACGGTCTGTGGAAACAGCCTCTGGGGGAGCCCCTTGGTGCCCCTGGGGGACCCCCTTGGTGCCCCGGGGAGGGCAGAGGAGCCATGGGGTCCCCCTGGGGTCCCCCTAGCGCCCCTGGGCGGCTCCTGCCCCATGGAAGTGCCCAAGGCGCCTTCCTAGGGTCTCCTCGCCCCGTCCTGGGGGGATACTGGGCATGCTGGGGGACACGGGGTGGCGCAAAGGTCCCTCTGCCCCGCGGGAGGGCCCTGGGGTGCCGCGGAGGTGTCCCGGTGTTGTTGGCTGGCTCCTAGAGGGAGCCCCAAACGAGGGCAGCCCAGAGCCCACAGCGGGGCGAGGAGTTCCCTGGGCGCCATCGCGGGACCCCCTTCCCGCGGCAGGGTCCTGGCTCCCATGGGGATGCGCGTGGGCGCTACGCGGGGCCCCCGTCGCGGCCTGGGGAGCCCCTGTCCCCGCGCGGGGCGGCGCGGGGCTCGGCGGCGCGCAGCGCGGCGGGCAGCGTGAGCACGCCGGCGCGCAGGTCGCTGTAGGCGCGGGGCAGCGTGCCGCGCGTGATCCAGCGCCGGCTGCCCGGCTGGTACGCGTGCACCAGGTGCGTGTCCCGGTACGTCTCGTGGCTGTAGCCGCCCAGCACGAGGAGCTCGGCGCCCAGCACGGCGGCGCTGCCGGACACGTGCGCGCGGGGCAGCGGGCTCAGCAGCACCCACAGGTCCAGGCGCGGGCTGTACACCTCGAAGGCCAGCTGGTCGCTGTAGCCGCGCTGCCCGCCGCGCTGGCACAGCCCGCCGGCCGCGTACAGCTGCCCGCCCGCCGCCTCCATGACGTGGCCGGCGCGCTCGCCGTTCATGGGCGCCAGCGGCGCGGCGGGGCCGTCGGCGGCGTAGCGCAGCAGCGACGCCCGGCAGCGGCTCGCCTCGTCGCAGCCGCCCGACACGTAGAGGGCACCGTCGAGGGCGCAGGCTGCGTGCCCGCACAGCGCCTCGGGCAGCGGCTGGCACCGCCTGCGGGGACAGAGACGCGGGCACGGTAAGCAGGGCTGCCCCGGGAGCAACCCTGCCCGCCGTGGAGCCGCCCAACGGCCAACAAGCAGCGTCAGCCAACAGCTGATGGACACCCCGTGCTTGGCGCTGGAGAACACGTCATGGATTCCCCAACGTGGTCCAACCCACAGCAGACTCTCCTGCAGGGCACTCATCAATGAGCTATGGACTATGTAGGAGCAGCTCTGGCCAGCCCCCAGTGGGCACTGCTGGTAGACATTCAAGTGATTCCTCTCATTGGCAGGGGGCTATGAGCCTCCCAGTGGTCAAGAAACCTATTTGTGAGCCAGCGGTCACAAATTTGTGACCACACTGGTCAACAGCCAATGGACCTCAAAGGACAGTCAGTCCCAATGGAGCTCAAAGGACAGTCAGTCCCAATGGAGCTCAAAGGACAGTCAGTCAACACCCCATGGGCCTCCCCCAAAGGCTGCTGTTAGACAGCTCATCATCTGTTCACTATTGGAGGGACCACATTGGCCAGTGACCCAAAGATCAGTCAGTGGGCACGCCTGGGCAACTGGAGGGGCTGCCAGGGCAGATGAAGGTGGGTGGGTGGGTGGGGAGGCCTCACCTCCACGTGTTGGTCGCCAGGTCGTAGCACTCCACGGAGTCCGTGCAGTAGAGCTCATCTGAGCTGCCCCCCAGGGCGTAGATGAACCCCCCAAGTCCCACGGCCGCGAAGTAGCTCCTGCCGCAGTTCATGCTGGCCAGGTGCTCCCAGGAGTCTTCCATGGGCAGATACCTGGAGTTGAGAGGCCAAGGGGAGGAGAGCTCTTAACCCCAACACTGGCACGTGATGTTGAGGTTGCTGAGAGCAGCCTCCTACCCACAAGCAGCCAATGGATGCAGTAATGTCCAAAGGCCACGTGGCATCTCCAGGTGGGAACCTCCCTGTGCCATCCTTAATGTATCCCATACTGTTCCCGAGTAGGTGGGCACTCGAAGGCCGGGAACCTCCCAGGCTGCACCCAGCCACCCAACCCAGCCAATGACTACTTGATAACTCAATCTCAGTTGATTGATAACTCAATTTCAATTGAATTATCAATCAATTCAATTCATCAATTCAATATCATTCAATTGACTTATCAATCAAGATTGATAACTTGATAACTCAGTCTGAGATAACTCGATCTCAGAAGAGCTGGAGCCCACGTGGAACCCCTGGGTGTCCCAGCCCCTTGGAAGGCCACTGACACCACAGTGTCTCGTCCCTCACCTGTAGACACTAGCCAGGGTGTCCCGGGCCCCGTAGTAGTGCTTCCCGCCCAGGACGTAGAGCGCGTTGCCGATCACCACCACGGCGTGGCGGAAGCGCGGGCCGTCGGGGAAGCGCCCCAGCGGCCGCCATTCCACGCGCTTCACCAGCCCCACGGCGCTGAGGTAGCGGTGGGCGAACCAGAGCTGCCTGCTGGGCTTGCGCGCGGCCATGTCGGTGGTGAGCGTGTCCCCGCCGCAGACCACCAGCACCTCCGGCCAGGAGCGCACCCGGCACGGCAGCTGGGCCGTGGGGGACAAACTGGCCACCACGAGCTGGCGGAGGAGCCCGGGGTTGGCTGCTCCTGCCGTCACCGATGGGATCTTCTTCAGCTCCTGGCCGGACATGAGGGCAAAGCGAACAGAGGATAGGACTTCCTCGGCTTCGTTGTCCTCTCCGCCTCCGTTGGCTACGAGCCAGCGGGATGCTGCTTCCAAGGCTTCTAGCTCGTGGAGGACGTTGAGGGCGTCAGAGCGGAGGAGGCGGATGAGGAGGTGCGCGGGGAGGTCCAGGAAGGCTGGCGTGGCCACCACGCTGGGGAAGGTGGCCAAGATGAAGTCCTCGGCTGCGCGGCCGACGTGGGCCAGCCCGTAGTCCACAGCGAAGGCCAGCACGTCCGGGCCCGTCTCGGGGGTGAGGCCGTGGGTGAAAACATCGAGGCAGAGCGTGAGGAGCCCCCAGGCCTGGTAGCGCAGGGAGGTCTCGGCTGCCTCCAGCACCGCGGGCCAGGGCCCCGCCACGGCGCCCGTGTAGGCGAAGGAGAGCAGGAGGTGCAGCTCGGCCGCCGACAGCTTGGTGGGCAGCGGCGTGGCCGGGTCGTGGGCCGCCTCGCGCATGGGGCACGTGAAGAGGGCGCGGAAGAAGTCGCAGGAGCAGCTGAGGGCCAGGCGCTGCACTGAGCGGGAGGGAGCAGACAGTGTGGGGGCAGCGGGGGCCCGGGCGTCCTGGCGCTGCCCGCTGTCCCCGAGAGCCGGCCCCCCTCTCCACCATTGGATCGWGGAGTCATTATGGTTGGAAAAGAGCTTGGAAATCATCGAGCCAGCCGCCTGCTAAGCGCTGTCCCAACYGCCCGGTCTGCTCGTGGGCTGAGCGCTGCCGACGGYGCTGCCGMCGYGGCCCTGCGCAGCCTGYTCCGTGCTGCGCCGCCCTGTCCKTGCGGATTTATTTTCYGGTATCTACCCTGAAGCTCCCCGGCGCAACGTGAGGCTGTTTCCCCAAGGCCACCCCGGAAGGGGACAGTCCTGCGATGCCTCCAGCTCCGCACCCAAGGCTTCACCCGCGACCGATGACCAGGGGCTGCCAGCACCAACCCCCGCCAGCGCCCAGGCCCCACACCAAGGGACCCGCGTGTCCCCCCCGCAGGGGACCTCACCTGGAATCACCTCGTCCCCCGCCTGCAGCCGGAGGTCGCATCCCAAGCCGCTGGCGTGGAGTTGCTCCATGGACCTCAGCGTCTCCCACTGCTGCTCCAGGGGCTCGGGGCGGGCCTGGGGGGTGCCCCCCGGCTGTGGGGCACAGGCTGCCACCACCCGCGGGGCCCCCAGGGCCTGCGCGGTCTCCTCCACCTCCTTCTCCTTGCCGTGGGGCAGGGTGCCGCCGTAGGCGAAGGCCAGCACGGCCCGCCAGCCCCATGGCGTGGCCCCCGGCGGCAGCGCCACGTGGGGCACGGAGCCGTGGGGCCGCTCCCCGCTCCGGCCCTCCAGGAACTGGAGGAAGAAGGAGCTGACGGAGGCCAGGACCACGGCGTGGGCCACGTCGCCCTCGGGGCCCACGGCCACGTCCACGAGCTGCCCCGCGGCGCGGAGCTCKTCGGCCGTGGCCAGGAAGCGGCCGGCGTGCGCGCGGTCCCGCAGGTGCCACCGGCTTCGGGGCGGCCCCTCCGCCACCCACATGCTGCCTGTGGAAACACRGCGGTGCCGGCGTCAGCGCGTGGTTCCTGCAGCCCTGAAGCCACCCGAAACCATCTCTGGGGCCACGCAGCCCATGGCCTCGATGCTCCGTCCCGGGAGAGCCCGATGGTCACCGGACCTCGTGCGACCACGTCCCGTCTCCCGGCCGCGCGCGCCGCGGTCCCTCATGTGTCACTGTTGCCCGGTTCTGTTGTGCGCTGTTGCTCGCACACCAGGCAGTCACAACACCGGCGTCTCTCGTGTCGCCTGTTGTTTTGTGGGGAGTCTTTGGTGTTGCCTTGTGTGTATCCTCTAGCTCGCGTGTCRCGTCACGCGGTGTCGCCTGTGTATTGTCCTCTCCGTTGCATCCTACAGCGTGCTACACCGTGCTGTGCTGTCGTGCTCTCCTGTAGCCCGGCTGGCATTGCTGCTGCTTCCCGTGCCACCCCGTGTGTCCCGCCTGTTGCCGCGCGCTGTGCGTTGCGTTGTGCGTTGGGTGCCGCGCGCTCRGCCGCGTGTTGTCCCCCTTACCGCCTGTCCCGCTCCTGGACGCTCCCGTGACCCCCGAGGAATGCGTCCGGGTAATTATAGCCCGAGGTGGACACGTGGCCCCGGTGACGGGCCCAGGGTGGATGGAGGACCCGGGGCTTCGGTGACCTCGTGATGGGACCACGTTGGCCACCCGGGTCACCCGGGGACAGGGAAGCCGCAGGGAGAGGGAGCCAAGGAAGGTGCTGGAGCTCTCCCTGCTCCCGGGCAGTGAGAGGGCGGGCAGGGACCGGGCAGGCCCTGCTGGGCTCTCCAGCCCCTCAGACACTCCCAGGAGAACCAGGGCACCCAGCGGAGCAGCTGGGGCGAAGGGCACCGAGATGCCACCACCACCTCCGCCTGGATGTCCAGGGAGGCTCCCGGGAACATCCTGCCCACAGAACAAGTGCGCGGGGCAAGCCACGCGGCCTGGCACGGCCACCGCAGTGTGTCCCCAGTTTGTCTTCTCCTCTGCCGTCCTCCTCTTCCCAAATCCCTGTGCCTCCCGCTTCCTGATCTCCCTTAGCATCACAGCTAAACTTCATCTTCCTTTTTCACTTTTTTTTTTGGCATGTCAGCCCCAGCACAAAAAACACCCTGAAAACATCTGGAAAACATCAAAATTGAGTGGCAACTGTTGATTTGACAACATATTTATTATTATACAATATCTTATTACACATTTAAAGGATAACTTGGAGGCTACAGCTTGGGAGGTCCTGTCAGCCTCCAGCCCTCTTTTTTACCTATCTTCATTAAAGCAGCAGTAATTCCAAAACCCAAACATGCAGTGGTACCAGTCATGTAACTGTGGGCTGGAAAAGAGAAAACAAACCAAAAAAAAAGATCTATTAGGGCAAGAGAACAATACTGCAGATCGGGGCAACCTGGAATGTGGCGACTTGACCATAAGTCATGTCGGCTGCTGACAGTAGTTTACTTCAAGCAGCAGTTTAAAGGTGTTAACACTACCTCAAGAGCAGGGAGGTTTTCRCTCATATTTATCCAGACTTACTTCGTGCACCTAAGACGGCTCCTGTGGCACAGCCTCCTATGAAATAATTCAAAGGATCCTCTGGTTTCTCGCGGATTTGGGCACTGAGGCAGGTGGTCACGCCAAACACCGCTCCTAGTGTGGCTGCAGACAAATGGCAGGAAGAAAAAAATCCCTCAAGGAACTCGGYATTAAATACCAGGAATACCTGTTTTAAGAGGCATGGTGCTGCACAGGAGTTCCTCCGGAAGAACAGAGAAGGGAAACTGAAGCTTTGGGACCTGATTTAATTCCCTGTGGCCATGGGACCTTATGATGAGTCTAATTATTAGCTCATTTTGGGCACCTCTGGTGTGGGAGCAGTGCAGCCCCTGCACACACGGGCCCCTCGGGTCTCTCCCAATTCCCCACTAAACCCACTGCACATCCCAGCACATCAAGGTGAGTTCAAATGGCTACAAAGGCCACCTTGTCCCCAGGGGCTTATTATTTCCTAATTAAATCAGATGAACCACCTACAAAGTGGCACTTTCTTGTCAACTAGACAACTTGTCAACTGTTTGCCTTGTTGACCAGCTTGTCAACATCGTGCAGCAGAAAGGGCCACCAACAAGCAAATAATGACTGACATACAAATAAGGAGCGTGGCAGAGAGGACAGCAAAAGGAATTATCCGCTGTAATGCRCTGCACGTAACCTGGGAGCCGTTTTGGCTCCGGACTTTGGTCTTGGCAAACCCATGGGGACGCGGCGCTGGGCGGGCAGGGCCAGGGACCCCGCGAGCCCTTACCCAGGGTGACGGTGTCGGCGGCCGCCATCTGCGYGGCGGCGAGGGCCGAGCCGGGCCGCTGCAGGATGATGCGGTAGGCAGAGATCACCAGACCTGCAGCGGGAGAAGCGAGCGGCGTGAGCGGCGCCAGGGGCACCGCGGCACCGACGGACCCCACACGGGCTCCCCTTATCAGCCCCTCGTCCTACTGCTCGTTGGCGGAATAAATAAATGWTTAAACAAACAAACRAATAARTAATTAAAGGAATAAGGGTTTACAATACAAAACGGGTATAAAACGGAAAACAAGGGCACCGCGGCACTGGTGCTGACAGAATCCACACGGGTTCCTGTTATCGGCCCCTTGTCCTGCTGCTCGCGGGCGGAATAAATAAATAAATAGATTTAAAAAATACGTAATTAAAGAATAAATAATTAAAGGAATAAGGGTTTAAAATACAAAACGGGGGTATAAAAGAGAAAACAAGGGCACTGCAGCGCCCGGCGCTGACAGAACCCATGTGGGTTCCCGTTATCAGCCCCTCGTCCTGCTGCTCGTTGGCAGAATAAACAAACAAACAAATAAATAAATAAACGAATAAATAATTAAAGGAATAAGGGTTTCAAATACAAAACGAGGGCATAAAACAGAAAACAGGGGTGTAAAGCACAAGGGGGCCAAGGCTGTGGCGGCGGCGAGGCGGGCGCCGCGGGGGAGCGCGGGGGGCCGCGGGGCTCACCRGCCGTGGCGCCCAGGCGCGTGGTGAGCCAGGTGCGGCGCGGGCAGGCCTGGCCCTCGGGCCCGTCCCAGTACTCCTCCATGGCGCGGCAAGGGCGGCCGCGCTCTCGCGAGATGGCGGCGGCGGCGGCTCCGCCCCGGGCGCCATGGCCCGCGCGTGAGGCGCCCCTGGAGGCGGGAAGCGGCGGCGCCGCCATCGCCCGGGCCCGCGCGGGCGCCGTGAGGCAGGGAACGGCCCTAACAATAAATAACAATAACAATTAACAATAACAATTAATAACAATTAATTAATGTTAATATTAATATGAGGTTCATTTCTGAAGTGCTCTCTCAAGCTCCTGTTCCAGCCCGAGGGCCATGGAGGGAGAAGGGGGTCCCAGCTGCTGGGATACTGAAGTTTGAGCATACACCCCCAAACTATGAAACGTGGCTACTCCATTATTTTTTTTTCTACTGTGCTTTCTGTTTTCAAGATACACTTAAATCATGCGATTCCTTTGCAGCCGTTAGCAGTAGTTTTGATGCTGTTGCATGAGGGATCCTTTTCACTTAACGTTTCCTCATAAAGATTGTGACACACTTGGACCACAGTCTCCACACATATTCTCCAGAAGTGAAATCCATAAGCTTTTATCTGAGCTCTGCACTTCTTTTTTTTTTTCTCTTTCATTTTATACAACAAGTTTCAATGCTTTATTTGTGCATTTCACAACCACATTAGAGTCACCCAAACCCACCTTTTCTGGATARGAGCCCAGAGAGCTCTAGCATTTAATTCCCCTGGGAAGTTATCCCTTACAACTCCTATTACTGTCACTGATGGGGCTGGGTGGCAAGAGGCTACAGCACCAAATCGGTTGTTTCCAGGTTTACCCAAATATATAGGCCATTTTTTCCCCCTTTGGGCTACCCAGCTCCCTTTAAAGCCCCTCTAAGGGCAGCAGCAGCAGCGCTGGGGGCAGCGGCAGGAGAAAAGGCAGGAGGGCTTCGGCACAAGGTGCCCGGAGGAGCCGGCCCCAGTAGGAACGTATGGAAGCAGTCAGCGCACGCATAGGGTGAGACCGTGCAGTCACGTATAGCGCTGCCTAGAGCAGCTGCTTCCAAGGAGCTCTGCCTGCAGACTGCACAGCTAACCCTCTGCGGTCCAAAAACTCAGTCCTACATGTATTAAGAGCAGCTTTCCTAACATGGATTGACTTACATGTTSGAACCTACAGAGTCTGTAACAGATCTCCAGGGAGCATCGCACAGAACCGACGGTCTGACACAAGCCCGAGGGCAAAGGAGTGGAAAAGCATGAGAGGCACCCYATGTGCAATGGTTTCAGTCTAGACCACAGTTACACAGCAGAGTTAATTTAATATCATTTAATACAGGGGTAGGCTTGGGGCGTTTCATTCCTTTCATTTTTAAAAGGAAGAGGGGGGTGGAGGCAGTGGAGCACTTGTCGTTGTATTACAAAGGTGGAAGTAAGTTGTTTCTTCTATTCCTGTTTTTTTCTTTCTGAGAAATAAAAATAAAGACCCTCTACCCCCAATTAAGTCACATTAGACACATATCTCCTATTCTCCTTTCTTTCCTTTCCTTTTTTTTTTTTTTTTTTTTTTTTTGACAAAGGCCCTTTAGAGGCTTACTCAAACACAAATACAAGAGTAAACAAGCGACGTTTCGGTGACCATTACACAGAACACGGTCCCTGGCCGCACGTATGGAATTGATCCAGTGTGAGGATCTGTGGACTGCCCGGGATAAGCAGCAGCAGCAGCAGCAGCAGGCTCCACGCTGGCAGCTGGACTGACACCTCCTGGTCTATTAGAGACCACAGAGGACATCAAATACAACATTACCACTGTGTTTTCCCAGGCTTTATGTTTAAGAAAGGGCCATTAAACTCATCAGAAGCCGAAGCTAAGCTATCAAACCTATCGGTATCAGTTCAGCTAAAACATATCCCACATTCAAGTCACTGATGCCTTGGAAAAGGCATCCCCAAAAGCAGAATTATCAATTTCCCYGAAGAAAATACATCTTTAATATCATTAAACCCTTGAAAAAAAAAGAAAGGTGGTCAAGAGGGTACTCTGAATACAACCTTTAAGGCAAGACTTCTATTTACAAAAGTTATCTTTGAGTCCCTTTTGTTTGTAAACTATATCTATTCCAAAACATAAGAGTCAGGGATTAAGATTGCCTTAAATATGCAAGTCCAGCTTAATAATTTTGTCTTGGTATCTCTACTACTCTGATCATTAGRAGGAGAGCAGGGAATTCTCATTCTGGAAGATTAAAGTACCACTTTATAATGTTTTTTTGAGTTTACCTGCTATGAGCACAGAGCCCAGAGTTCAAAACACACCAAGAAAGCATCACTGCACTAAAAGACCAAAGAACAAGGGGAGAAAGAGAGTACAGTGAAAAGTCAGTTTAATGAAATCTTGCATGACAAATTATGGCAAATACCATAATGAGAATTGCTCAGACTAGAGAGGATYGATGGAAACGTATCTGCAGATATGTAATGGTTCAAGACAGARAAAGGGAATAAACTATTGTCTGCACTCACCGGGAAAGGAGCGAGGCCACCTGCGGAAAGGGATCTATTTAATGCCAGAAATACCAAGGCAATCAAATTGACTGGGAAGAAGTCACACTTTTTCTTATTATTTCCCACAAGTATATTTAATTGACTGGATAGACAATTTTTTTCCTTGGTTTTAATAATGCCACCATTCTCATATCACTCCCTCTACACAAGTGTTCAACTTCATTTCAGTCTTAGTGTCTTTTTTTTCACCCTCCCCTGGGAAATCTGAAGATTTTYGTAGCCACAGCAGTCAGCAGCAAGAACAAGAGAAGCAATAATTGCCAAATCCATCCGTTAGCAGCAGCCCTCGGAGCAAACAGGCGATCCTACAACAAGGCAAACCCAACGAGTGGCCTCCCTTCTAAGAGGCGCTGCCAAGCCCAGCAAACACAACACAGGCCTTGGGTGGTTTTGTTCGCTTTCTTTTTTTTTTTTTTTCTCTTTATATTAAAAGTTTTAATGAAATTCCCGAATACATCTTGATATGACAATCTTACAGAGATCTTTCAGAACACATCATCTGGTTTTACTTGTCACTAGTTTATGAAGCTTAAAGYAGAAATTGTCTTAGACTTTCACTCCTACGTCTTGCTGGACAGGGCTTGAATTTATATCCAATTCTGGTAGTGGTCTACGAGCCATAAGGTTTTGGACAAATACAAAATATTTTTCTCTTTGCTATAAACATAGGCAAGGCTTCGCTCTGAAATAAATGTGTATCAGCAAATAGCTGCCTTTTTTTTTTTTTTTTAAGGAATGCCATAGGTGACTTGAACACCACTAAACTCCATCAAAACAAACATGCTTATTCCATTCTTCTGAATCTCCATGCACCAATTTCATTCACATTTAGGTAAAACGCCTCAAAGTGAGACTTGAGACAGATTCCCAAATTAATGGAGTTGAGGGCTGGGAAAGAACCACTGTTTTTCCACAATCAGGCCCTGCTGACCAAGACATCTTATAGATTTGAATGATCCTTATGCTGACAATTAAAAGCTTTCCATGGAAAGTTTCAATCTGATTATCAGTGTAAAAAGACCCAAGATCCAAAATGCAAATCACTGATCTGAAAATACTGAAGTTCCCCAAAACATAAGATGCAGAACAACAGCTGTGAGGGAACGTGACACTTCTGTCGTTTAGAGTGCAATGTTTGTGCATGGTTTGGAAAGAGAAAAAAAAAACCAGCTACAGCTAAGGGGAAAAAAAGTAAACTGCAAAAATTTGTGAGCACAGGCCAGATCTATCACAATGCTTTTTTGCATTGTGAACTTGCAAAAAGTTTGCATTGTGAATTTGCAAAAAGAATTGCCCCCGATATCTGAAGTCTCCAACAACAGTTAGCAACAGACAAATAAAATTAAATGCTCCCTGGACACTCAGCAAAAGTATCTTTTCATTAATATAAAGGCAATAAGGGCTGTTTTGACAGGTTAGGTCAAAATTGGGTGTTCAGTTTCTACTCCTGCTACATTAACTATTTCTCCCTTTCCCCTCCATTTTTTTTTTTTTCTTTCAATGGTGAAGTTTTGATCTCTTTAACCTACTGGAAAAAAAGAGTAAGCGAGTCAAAATTATCTACCAATAATCTATTTACAAAGGAAAACAAATAGTTTGGGGSTTTTGCAGGAAATTGACCTAGTCACTGTTCTTAAGTGTCTATTAAATTCTAACTTTGCTGGACAAGAATATACCGTCTGTTTTAATAAGAAAATAAAACTCAACTTTCACACAAAATGCCCAAATGATTAGAGAACATCCAAAGCAAAATGTATATTGTGGTTACAGCAGGAGTACTTCAGAATTACACACAGGAAAACATGTTCTTGCTTTTATTTTGGTGGAACAGAATACAATATCCTTCAGCCCAAACTATTCAGAGCTGGCAATATTACCTTTTTTGTTCATGCTGCAAGACTTCAGGAAACAGAATGGGGACAGGAAGAGTTAAAATTTATTTTCTGTTTAAGGCCATTCATTCAGCAAGATATTTAAAAAGGTACTCGACTTTAAGCATGAATAGTTGCATTGACTTCAATAAGATCATTCACATATGGTAGTTAGGCAAGTGCTTAAATAGCTTGTTGAATCAAGCCATTAAGTGACAGCTGCTTTTAGACAGATTTAGTTTAATGGCTGACCCAGCTCATCACATGAGCCTGGCTTTATTCTTCCGAGGGCAAACAACTGTTTCCTCATCACCTTTTCTGACGGTTTAACCTGTATGCCTCCTACGCTTCACTGTAGCCACAGAAACATATAATTTTCTAAGAAAAATTGTATGCAACATCTATTATATATAGTGGCTTAGCTCTCCCTTAAATAGTAACAGAAAAGAACAGTACAAAACAATAGTTTCACTTTTTCAACACACAAGAGCATCTTATTGAAAAACTAAAATAAAAAAGTATCACCACAATATAAACCCCCAAATAATAATAATGGAAATGGGAAGAAAGGAAGGAGTTAGCAAAACATCCTGTGGACTTTGAGAGTCTCCCATTAACGCATTTGAAAGCCTTCCTGGTGAACCACAGYGTCTTTTTCCTCTCCGTTTACAAGCCCACTCTACAAGGAACAAGAGCGTCCACAACCTATGGTRGGATTAGAAGGTAAAAACATCAACTGCCCCATCTGCAGTCCAGAAGAGACCGAACCCAAGAGGGCAGTCGGTGAGCACAGGAATTGAGCAGGACTGGGCTTCCCTGCAGGTGGCAAAAACTCATAAGGGGAAATAGGGGATAAGAAAGCAGAATTCAAGTTGGAACCGTGCTGGAAAGTTCTATCTCGGAGGCCTGCAAGACATGAACTACTGAAGAAACAGTCAAAAGGTCCCAATGAAAAGCTGTGACAAGCTGTAATGTGCCATTTCAATTACAGGAGAGAGGGGAAATGTTTGGATTTTTTTTTGTTGGCTCATCAATATGATGAGCTCTCATGTCCCAAACCACATTCAGGTAGTTTCCAAGTCTGCTTTTCTTTTTTTTTTTTTTTTTTTTTTTTTTTTTTTTTTTTTTTTTTTTTTTTTTGAGTGGAATCTACTGATCCAGACCAAAAAAACAAACAAACAGAACAGGGATGCACAGTTCTTAAGTCCTGGAGCTTTCAACACTGCCTGAAACAATAGCTGGCCTGGGGTATCCAGAGAGTTGCCTGCAAGATGATGTTCATAGCAGCCTTGCAAGCAGATCGACTCACTTCTGCTATGTGCTGCCCACATTCTGCCCATCACCTTCATCATTAGGACCTGAAACAGAGAGAGTAGTTCTTTGTTATAAGAAGTATCTGTCCTCTGTTGCTGGCCTTACATTAAGGGACCCCCATCCTGAGAAGCCTCAGATGTAGGATTTCAGTGACAGGCGAGAAAAGTAGAGATTTTCCTCTTATTTCTTCCTCTCCAAACTAAGTTCTGTCCACTGGAAAAAATCATGTTCTTTACCAATCTGGTTTTGGGATCTCAACAGCACTTACAGCTGAACTATCTGTGTTGCTCACTTCCCACCAGAACTGCCTCTCCAAGCTCCTGCACTGGTTTTGTTCGTGCCCATTCCCCTTCTTTTTCTGCTGTAGGTCAGGATGGAGGAGTAGTCACAGTACAAGGTGGAATGTGCCAAGCCATGGAGGGGCAAAGCAGAGATGACTCCAGTCAAGACTACAGAAGAAAACTTTCCACCGATGACTAGAACCTTTTCAGTCACAACAGTCCCCTCACATTCAACTAAATCAATTAGTCCCCATGTCCCTTCCATAACCAGGAAATGTGGTGTCTGTCTTGCTTACCACTCCCAACGGCTCCTGAAGGTGCAATGACATCATCATCACTGTCTTCCTCATTTGATTGTGTTACCTCTGGCTCAGGTGCTACATTCTTGACCTCTTGCTCCTGTTCCACTCTACTTCGCAAAGCCAAGATCCGATGGTGTAACGCAGCATACAACTGCCCTGTATCTTTAGAGCTTGCCTATGTTTTATATATACACATATATAATATATACATATGTATATTTTTTTTCAAAAACAATAAAAATGTGTAAGAAATCTTTTTATGCTGCTACAACTCCTGWTGTAATACAAGGCAATCATGACAAACATTTCACATCCCACTTTTCAGTTTTCCCATAAGGGGTTTTTCAAACTGTATCCGAATTAGTTGTAGTAMAGTTGGCAAAATGCCAGTCAAATTCAACTGTGATAGGAGTATATTCCTACAAAAAGAATTACACGCAATCCTTGCCATCCAGGAGTCATTCCTTTCCTGACACTCCCAGAAGCTTAAGCTTAAATTAAAGACCATTAAAAACTTGTCTGGCATAAGATTTTCTAGGTTTGCCATCACTTAACTTCATACATCTGTTCATCATAATCAAATCACATAACTGTTTCATGATAAACCACTTAAAATTGTATCACAGTTTAAGTGTTTTAGTAATTTGAATTGTGACCGCCGTTTCCCCAATTAGCAGGCACAGAAATCAGTTTAATTGGTCTGTTACTGTCTGCTGGGAGGGTGGGTGCACGTGCTCACACACAAGTGCATGGCAGGGACAGGGGGAAGATTAGGAGGTAAGCAAAAAAACCAGTACTCACTGATATAAGAAAAACTTTAACTCCCTGGTCCTCTGTATCCATGGCTGTGATCCGGATACTTTTCTCACTGGCTTTGTCAATCTGCATCTGAGCCCAAAGCTTGGTATTTAAGATTAACCTGAGACTCCCCTGAGTCCTCATCACTAGAGCAAACAGAAGATTAGTTAGGGGAAAACAAAACAAATCAGGAAACTCAAAAGCAAGTAAAATTACAATTTTTAATAAGTATCTGCAAGTCTCTTTGCAAGGATTATGAAGTAAGGAAAAAACCTCTTAAAACAGAGGTCTTCTCATGATTGTTAATCAGAAGCCTGCAGCCTATTAAAGAGCATTGGATATATCTAAAGATATTTGAACAAGTAAACTTGCCCCAAATTTCCCATGTTAGTACATCATAGATCAGTGCCATTAATCACTGTTCACTGATCTGAGCCGCTAACCCCAGGCTAATGCAAACTGCTGCCAATTTGAACGACTGGGCATCATTCAAAGAGCCTTCCCTCCCGAGGGCCTAGTCCCAGGGAACACTGGCCTGGCATCCAGGAGCTCGCTCCTTACAGTTCCTCTTACCCAGTCGAGACTGTAAAGTTCCATCGTCCGTTGACGCCATATCATTGAGTCTCAGAAGTCCTCGGCCTCTTTCCACCCAAGACTGAGAGTTTTTATCAAAAACAAACAATTTACATTGAATCTGTAACAAAAATAACGTAACGGTTGTCTGAATCAGTTGTAAAAAAAAAACCTATAAATGGATTTCTTAAGGATATGCTTAAGTTAACAGACATATTTGAGTTAAAGAACAACTGCCATGARAAATAAATCACTTGAAATCAGAAAGCTCTCAATCACAAATACACGTCCTTCTAAAAGATCACCAATTCAAGCAAGTACCTGAGCACAAACTCCTGAGTGCTCTTTTACGGTTTCTGCTAGACAAGAAACCATACTGCTTCGTCATGATAGCCCATTCTGAGTTAAAATAATCTCAAATAGCACAATAACTAAAGTACTTAAAGAATATGCAAGTAAACTGGATAAAGTACTTTGTTATTTAAATAAAAGTGTTCCGCAGAAGATAGAAACTTTTGTGGGATTGCCTCAGGAAAGCATGTGTAAGATTTGTAAAAGAGCTGTCTAGATTGTCGGAGCCGTGAATTTTATTCAGAAAGAATTTTCAGAAATTAAGAAGCAACAAAATAAGCACCTGAGCGTCAMTATCCACAGTTTACATGTTAACCCAAGAAAGCAGCATATATAGATATTAAAGCATGGTCTAGTTGTAAAGAACCAGGTAACTCATCTGCTGGACGACAATATGAATCTCACAAACATAAAGCTTCTCTCTGCTTTCCARTTTCTTACCTGTAACACGTTACTTTCGGCTTCCTCCCCAGTGATCACTTCTACTTTTGCCAGTAAACACTTCCTTGCTGTTGCCTTAGTATAGGCTGCTGCAGACTCTGCCAGTGATTCTGAAATATTATTAGCTGAACAACATTTTGAAAGTTTATTTTGAGAACAATTTGTATAATTAGGGAAGATTTATAAAGGTCTCACAAGTATACCAGGACTAACAGTACAGAAAACAGGAATAGAAGAGTAGAGATAGATTTGAAGTTTAAAGCAGTCTGTCTTTGAGACTTGCTTTAAAAACACAGGAAGTTGTAAAGAATAGGACATAACTTCCTGAAAATGTTATCCTTACATACTTGTATTTTTTTCCTACACGCAACTACGCAAAGTTGCTAGCACATTTACACATCTGGATCTGTAGGTGTTCGAACACTCCTGATACTGCTGCCAGCTACACAAGTGGACCTACATGTGAAAGGCAGGATTCAATTTCCACTTTCACACTGTCTCAGAGCTGTTTGCTGGAGAAAACTCAGGGCYGACAATTTCTAGAAAATCTTGCCAATTTGAAGAACCACACAAGTCAAGAACTCAGCAGTTCCTGGTTCAAACACATTTGGTGTTTACCTTTCTCTGGTGTGGCTTCCTGAGATGATGATTCAGATCCAGACTCCGTAGCAGCRTTCTCCTTATTACTCTCTGTACTACCATCATTTGATTTTGGTGGACTCTGCATAATAAGAGAGAAACAGAAGAAAGAATGCGTATTAACTTTTGTTTTATGGAAAACAGGCCTATTGAACAATTACTGCAGGAAGTCCCTAGTGTTTATTAACCATAAAATGATAAAATCCCACAGATGACAATACAGTGAAAGATGTATTACTGACCTAAGTATGGAGTCAAATGCAGCCTGACCTAAAAACAATCATTTTTCCCTTGAACTAAAACTGATTTTCAACCCTGTGTTCAACGAACCAAAGCAATTTCAGCTACACTGCAGCTCAAGACATACTTGATTGAACTCTCTGTTCAGTAGGTAGACACATATGCAATTGCACAGTATTAATGCCTCCCTTTTACACCAGGATAACAATACGGTGACAACAAGCAGTAAGGCAATATAAATTATACCTTGGGATGGTACACAATAAGCACAGAATTCCCTGAATTCCACCTTTGTACYGAAGTAGCTGTCATACTGTTGGACTTGAAATTCAGTCACTGGGGAAATCACATCAACGAATCCGTAACGCAAGATACTGAGAAAACTACTTACTAGGACTCGTTCACTCATGTTCTGTCCAAAAACAAATTTGTTGCTGGATGCATCTGCACTGTTTGTAGAGTTCTCTAGACTGAATGGAAAACAAACAAAAGCCCCAAATGTTTTAATCAGAAAAATATCTATCTATCCTTTCTGTTATCCTAAGTAGATAACAGAAAGAAAGGATAATCTCAAATAATTTTGTACATAGATCAATAAAGCTATCCTAAAGGGTCTGTGTAGTCTCACCTAGAACTGATGTACTGTAGAAAATAATTTGTTGCAGAAGGTGTGTCTGATGTTGGCAAGCCAGCATTCTGCACATCAGCCGTTTCATCACTTTCATCTCCTAGCTATAAAAATAAATTCATTAGTAATAAATTCATTAGTTTAAACTGCCAACCATAAAATCATTAGTATTGTTTTCATTGATCTTTAGAACAGCTCCATAAACACATATGATCTGTTCCACTATTTCTTATTCTAACTTAAATTCAACAATTCTCAGGACAAATAAAAACCATTTACCTTAACTCTATCTCGTAAGTTTTGCCCAAACACAAACGCTTGCTGTGCATTGAGCTCTGCCTTCTCACAGCTGTCATCATCYGAAGTGTTGTTAGATTCTTTTTTTTGACATTCTCTTGCCTAAAGAAAAAAATCAAAAACTTTAGTCTGAACGATTAAGATCAATTTCTTTAAACAAAACAGGTAATAAAGCAACMACGTTTCCTCCTTTTCAGTAACTCTAATTATTTCTAGATATTTGACACAATATTCACTTATTTRTGAAGGACATGAGACATCTTAAAGGCTCTGGCAATTTCAGCAATTAAGAAAAATCATCACAAGGCCAGTTATGAGAATAACTGAGAGAATAGTTGTTTTCAAATGTTTTATATCAAGTGTCCTTTGAATCCTTTTAAACTCACCTTGTCTTCGGAGTCGGAACTTTTAGGTGTTGCATTACTTAGTGATTCTGATGTGGCTGCAGAATCTGGCGAGATATTTACACCATTGGTCCCACTGCTCAGGACTGCAATATGGAATGACAGGCTGCCGTTAAGTGTGTCCCCAAAGTGGCACATTTACTAGAGTAAATTGCATTCTGTCTTTTCCTTTTTTTCTTAACTGCACAAACCATTGTACTGTAAATCACATGAAGTGAATGTTCACGAAGTGCTCTCCAAACTTGGTTTAGTGACAGATGCCTAAGGACAGGAATTCAGCAATTCTTAGCTTCTTAGCAGAACCAAGACTCCGAATGCAAAAAAGGACAAAAAAATCCTAGTCTGCATAAGGACTTCAAGCTTTCAACAGATACAACTTGAAGCAAAAAAAAAAAAAAAAGCACAGATCTACTACACTTAAGCCATTGACAATTTGAGAATGCCCATCTTAAATGTCTTTGTCCTAAATGTCTTAAATGGACTACACTAAATTCAGACTCTGGCAGTTTAGCACAGCAATCCCATACAAGCATTGAAGATTTCGTTATTTCTTCCATGACACGGATCTCTAACGTTTAAGATACTTGCTTTTGAAGAAATGGCAGTTGCCGAGTAAAGAGAGACTTCAGTACTAAACGGATTTAGCGTTTCTGATCTCTGCCTGCAATATTCTGGAAAGCATATGCTTTATTTACCTGTCTGTGAGAAAGATTTTGGCTGTGGTGCCTGTAATACTGCTGGACGTAGCACACTGCGCTGCTGCTCCTTTGGTTTCTGACTCGGGAGACCTGTAAGGGAAAGTCTTTTCAAGAGCTATAAGGCTTTAAAGTCAAAAAACTCAATTTCATCTATCTGTATTTCTAACAGAACATATAATGGAACATTAGACATTTGGAAGTTGGATTTGAATTTCCCCCCCAACATTGTCATACCACATGGAAGAAGAGCTTCCATAGTGAGAAGGCAATTGCTTTGTTCCCAGCACTAAAATTATTATTTTTTTAAATATAATTTCTACCCTACCCACAAAAGTATGTCAACAAAATTTATGGCAATGACTCAGAAATGAAGATCATAAAGTGAAAGAGAAGTGAGCAGTATCAAAACAATCCCTTTTATTCATTGAAGTAATTTTCAGTCACATATCTCTTCAGCTTTAAGTTAAAGATGTAATAATATTTTTGCAGTTTTACCTACTAAGAAAATAATAATAAAAAATCTTATGATCAACTCTAGAAAGCTATAGAAATCCCCTACTTTTTCAGATTTCTTCAATGAAAAACATAAACAGAAGTATTATCAATCACCAGTAACAAAAGTACCCTGAAGCTCCTACATGAGGCGAGATGCTTGAACCTCCTTCCTATTGCTGCAGGAAACATGAACTTACCTGCACTAGGTGCCTGACCATGAATGAGAATAGGAGGTTTCAGCCGGAATCCACTGCTCTTTTCCTCTAGAAGCAAAAGCCAAAATTACAAGGACAGAGATGAGGCACAGTACATACTTACAGTACATACATGCAGTCATAAAATAGCTCTTCCCCACTATAGCAGTGCATGAGCCCTATAAATACTCCAAGTTGTAAGAAACCTCCAAAGAGGTTTCCTCCATGTAATCGTTTGCTTTGGTTCATGATAGACCAACAGTAGTTTGCTGAAAAAAAAAGGCAGAAAAATGAGGAAACTCACCTGGTTCTGAGTCAGAATTGCCTGTAGAGGTTTCACAGAAGCTGGATGGCATAAAGACGTTGTTCTTTGTTACTGCAGTCATGGAAAAAGAAAAAAGGAAACAAGTTGTGGATGTTGTTCAGTCTCATTATAAACCCCCTTCCTCGGGTATATATTACTGCTGCAAAGAGAAAGTGATTTTTCTGGGTGCTCCTGACAGTAATGAGGGCTCTGGCATGACTGAAAAAAGCAGCAGAGGAAACCCACCTCTCTCATAYGCTAATATTGTTATAATTCATATTTACCTGACTGGGAAGGAGGGAATTGAGTTAAAGATGAAGTTCTCTCACGCTTTACAGGGGGACAGTAGTTTCCATCCTCTCGATCAGAATCTGCAGCAAAAAAACATAATTAGAGAAAACGCACAAAATCCCAGAGTTGTGCACTGGCGCTTTTTGATCTTACAAACAAATTTCTTACCATCTCCATCTTCTGGACTTGAGCCATCCGCTGATCTCTGAAATGAGATGACATTGATGAAATGATAATCACATCCTGCACAATATTTCATTCTCTTTGGAGGGATCCTAATGCTCTAATCATCACTTTGGAGACTTTCCTTGGTGCCAATGATACATTATCAAGCAAAGCATTATTGTTCTGAAGTACATACATACTGAATTTTACCTAGGGACTCTCCAATGCAGGATGAATTCAAAACATTTCAGTTGCAAACAAGATACCTAATGGTATCTAAAAGTTCATATCCAAGTACTAATGGATAACTTTTTATTACACACTGCTTAGTAATCATTCCAGCTTCCTGCATTATGAAAATTTTGAAAACAATAAGTTTTCAAATTTTGTTTCAGGAAAAAACACAAACAAATAAAAACCCACAGAAGCGTGGGTTCACAGAAGGTGAACCCACAGTTCACCAGGAATATAAGAATTATTTGGGAGCTTGTTCTGAGCAGTAGTGCTAATTAACCTAACTGATATTGGTTCATTCAGCAAGACAGTGTTGGAGGGATGCCTTGCAAAGCACACCCTATGAAGCAGCACTACAATGTTCTTACCTAATACTAGTTCCTGTAATTTCATTAGCATTCTCCATAGCACCAATAAATAAATAAATAAATAAAATTAAAAACCACAGGCTACCAACTACCACAGTATTAACACGTCTTTGAACGAGTTTCCAGGTGCTTTCTGAAGGCTCAAGGTCTCTGTTTTCACTTGCCATCAGCTYCTGAGCTCATCTAATTCTTCTTGTTCTTGCACCACAGTCCCATGACGGATTCCCTCGATACGGACGGTGACAGGAGCAGCCTCAGCTCCCTCTTCTCATTCCCAAGCCTCCCAACATGAGGGATCCACCCAGAGCCACCCTCGTGGGCAGAGGCCACTGCAGCCCCAGGGCTGTCGCCTCCCTGCCTGTGCCAAGACCTTGGGCCGGAGGGTGGACAGACACACAGGACCGGGCAACACGGGGCTGCCAAAGATGTACAGTGAATACAGCAACATGGAGAAATTCTCCATTATTTACTGTATTTACTGCTACTTACATCTTGAATCTAGATACAGTATTTCACCCTACACAAGCAAAAATATATTGACTTTGACACGGGGAACGAAGTACTACTTACTGTTTTGAAATACCCTCCTCTCTCCCCTCAAAACACACACACAAACATATATAAACTTATGAGCCTAATCCCTATCACACCATGTTTTGTGATTTACACTGCCCCTGCATAATTGGCCATGTAATCTACATTATTTTCAAATTATATTTTTATGCATCTCCCTTGCCCACATACATTAGTTTCCCCAGGGAAAAGGGAAGCRTGGAAAACCATGATGCCAACTATCAATTTCAGCCATCAATACCCAAAATGAGGAAGGGAAAGAAAACTAAACCTATTTTGTATAGAAAGTGATGCAACAATTAACCCCCATTTGCTTCAACTGGCAGCAAGATTTCCCCAAAYGAAAGACCATTTTATGTAAGAAATTTGCATGAAGTTACCTATCCGTATGTGCAAATCTGGCAGCATTCCTTAAAATCAACTAGAGATCCCCCTTGAACTTAAACTTCTAGAAATGCTGCATGCTATAGTCCCAATCTCAATGCTATAGTCTCGATGCTACAGTAACACACAGATCAAACCAACCAAATCTGCACAGCACAAGCTCCAGATTTCCACATCATCATCATCTATCACTGCTACAAGCCAAAACACATAATCTACCCTACGCTTAGTGGGCAACGAGCATCAATATCCAAATCGTTAGCCCTCTGAAGACAAAATAAAGCTAAATTTCTCCTCTCAAAATGATTCGCATGCTTCCTAGCCCCAAAGCTTTGGGAGGTTAAAGCCATGCAGAAGCAGGCAGTACAAGCCTTATAGTTACTGACATTGCCAAACTTATTCAGAGGCAGAATATCTTGTCTCCGATGTGATTTTTTCCCTAAATATCTAGATCATTTAGTAGGCTACCTCCCATCTTTATCCATGCACAGAGCATTCACTGTCAATTATTGCTTGCGCAAGCTGGGGTTGATTTTGTTACTATTTTCTTCTTTCAAATCACKGCAGATAGGCACGAGTTACCCAAGTGCACATATACCAAGATGGTTAAAGAGTTCCCCACTTTATATTTAGTTTCTAGKAAAACACCACTTTTCCCTTGTTTTTTTTTTTTTTCCAGAAAATGTTTTTCAATATTTACTTCCTCTCTTGCTCCACTTAGGCACTCAGCTAAGTCTTTCCAACCTTGGACAAATCTGTTTTCATACCATAATCTTCTCACCAATGGTCAGCTCACTCTTAAAGATCTTGGCAAAAATATTCCTAAATCTAAATAATCTATTGCAAATCAGCACCAAGTTTTATTTCCATAGTAAGTAATAAGACAGTGGAGCCAAAAGTGGCTTATGAGTGTTGTTTACTGTGAAGAACCTGGAGATGAGACCAATAAATCAGGGGAACGAATGCAGGGCAAGCAACTTGAGACTGTGTTGCTTGACCGAGTTGGAAAAAAAAATCAGAACTTACAATTATTGAGAGCAAACAGCAGGAGAGCCTTTCAGCTATAGCCCATCTTTGCAGGCTACTCATTAACCTCTACTTTACAGCAAGACATGTGCTTTGCAAGCAGAAACAAGAGTGTAAAAACAAATAGAAAAAAAGGAGYGTTTTTCACAGGAAAACTGAAAGCCAGGAGCATTTCAAGAAAATATTGAGGTGACTCAGTGTCTCTGCATCCTGCTCTTTGAAACTAAACTTATCTAAACATTTCCCCCTATATTTAGGGACCCAGTTATTTTATTTTATTTTTTTTCCAAACGGAGAGACTCCTACAGTTTTGATGTGTATCTCTAATGAATCAAATTACCTTTTACAGGTAATCAACTTCTTATAGAAGAGGAGAATCAATGTATTAGCCACCACATATAACCATCGTTTTTGTACCCCTTACTTCCTTACACTATTTCAGAGGACTTGTAAGTGATGCCCTGGGTCACTAAACACATTCCGCAGCTATTACAAGAAACTAGTACAAAAAAAGCTTACACAAACTTCAAGATACAGCCAGTTTTCGGKTGTTCACAATGAGCAGGAAGAGGAAATCCAGGTCAGAACAAGTACAGACAACACAAACAGGTGAAGGCTTTAGCAGTACGCTGTATTTAGTGGTTATCTTTGCAATACAGAACTGAAATGTTTCAGCACCAGGGCTGCCGGAGCCGCGAGCAGGGTGCAGTGCTCTGGCCACGACGACGGCCACGCTGCCCTGGCTCTGACCAAAACGCTGCTCCAAATTCCTTTCTTAACGAGCTGCGTCCTGTGGCCAAGCTCTGGCTTGGGTTAGATACCTCAAAGTCAAGGCACTATAACCAGCTCTTTAAAGGCCACATCTCTGGCCCTGCTTGGTTGTGCCTGTTACAAACAGCACTGCGTAAACAAGGAGCACTTACAGTTCTGCAAAGTTTCCTTTCCAGCACTTGGGTCTTTAATTCTATCTTTATAAGAGCCATGGAAGAGGACATGAGGTGTCCTGATCCAGCAAACCACTACGGGTCCCCTAAAGCTTCATTAATCTTCCGTATATTTCAAGGCGAGATGATTTTGAAAGAAAGTGGGATAATTCTTAGAAAGTTTGCCACACATGCCAAGAAGCCACTGCACACCCAGACTGAGCCCTGYGCTATCCCCAAAATTTTGGCAAATGCAGCAAAGTTGAAGGATGTGTGCATATCTGTGCTTACAGAAGAGAATTCCCATGTGCATCTCCCAGTAACATTTTTGCTTGTAATCACCCAATACTCTCAGTCCTGGATTAACAAGTGTAGCCATTTCTTAAAGAATTAGTATGACCGACAGTGATTGCCTGCTGTAGTTTTCTGGAAGGTCTGCCTAACATTCTGTTGGCCAGTTATAGTGATACTAGTGGTTTTTACGTCAGTTTTATATGACTTAAGAGTCAGTGGCAGCATTTAACAGGTGCATTTTAAAATATTAACCCCTTTTGAGAGAGGAAACTTCTGCAGGTCATCAAGCAAAACCTGGCAGTCCAGATGCCTAATGATCCTTTATCTATAGTCATTTGTATCTCACCAGCACAATTCCCTTGGCACTGGGTTTGCTTCAAATGGCCCATTCTTGAAGAAGAAAAGCTAGTGGAAGAAGAGGATTCCTGCATTGTGTGGAGTGGCCTTAACAAGCAAGGATTCATCAAAGTTGTACATGCCTTGTGTGCGTGGTCACCATGAGTGCCACCTGCACCAAGAAAATACAGCCCATCAGGACAGAAAGATTAAGACCACTCCTAAAATTGCTCTGAAAGACTACGTGATAGCAGTCATTTCCAGAAGTATTTTCCTGTACCATCAGTGGAGGGAAAAAAGTCTTCAATTAACAGCAGTGATAGCCTTCTCTACCTCCAGGTACACTTAAGCTTTTTCAAGTAAGAACTTTTTTCCAGTACCTAACTTCAAAATTTGTCTTTAAAATCTTTCTTGTTGCTTTTAATCCGTTAAGCACCCTGCAGATTGGCATAATCTACTGCTTATATCCAAGTGGGAATACAGCATTAGCTGCTCACTTTGTTGCACTGCAGGATTATGGCTTGGGGGCGGGAGGCAAATCCTCCTAATGGTTTTATGCAAATCCCYCATATAGCCCAACTTTGGCACTCATTTAGAAGAGCTCTTCCCCCGGCGAACACTGAGTTTACACACTCCGCTTTAAAATCGACAGTGGTTATGCCTTCCACAGTCACCCCCACTAGGAAGTCCCACATAAATTTAATTTCTACTAATTGAGACGATGGCTAAGAGGGGGACTAACGCTGGAGATCAAAGAACTAGACACACAGTGAGGTCTACTGCCTAAAGTTAACAGTAAAAGACTTCTCTTAGTTGAAGGGACTGTTTCTTTGGCTCAGCAGCAGAAGTACTCGGTAGGTTCACACTTACCCCTGCCAGTTCTTGTTGAATAGGAGCAAGCTGGGCTTCAGGAGCGGGACTCAGAGGAGCACTGACTGAGGCACCAGCGGGAGCAGGAAGCTCAGAGTCGCGCTCACCAGCTGATCCTGTGCGACCCCGACCATGGTGGGGGGGTTCAACCTCTCCCTGTCGGTCCTCGCCTGAATCCGACAAATCTTTTTGCTCTGCAGGGGACTGGGAGCAAAAAAGACAATGTCCCTTCAATGCAAGGCTGCAACACGATAGAGCAGTTGTCCTAGTGAGAGGATCTGCTAATCCCTTCTTAGGTTTCTCTGCTTTCCCAGCGGGGCAGAAGGAATCGCTCCCTGCTGAGACACCAATTAAAATGTGCTTAAACCAAGTGAAAGAACCTGCACCCTGAGTTCACTTCCCCTCCCCAGGAAAAGCACCAAGTGGAATAAATGCACTTTTGGGGGTTGAAAATGTCAGTGTCCCTCTCAAAAGAGCATTTCTGATAGCCATAAGTGGCCACAAGATTGCTGGGATTTAATTCCTCCTTCCCTCAAGGCCTAATGAGCAGCTTCCCCAGATTTACATGCAAGAATTCAGCAGTTATTGGGAATAATTGTTCTTCCCTGCTGGTCCTGCAGACTGAGTCTGAAGGGTTTGGGTTTGATTACAAAAATCTCCACCCAAATTCACTCTAACAGTATTCACACTGTTCAATATTCATGGGAATTCAATATTCATGGGAAAATAAAAGGCTTTGAGCCTGAAACAACTATATTGTGATACAGGACGTTAGCACACATATAACACGGACTCCTATGAAGCAAGGAAGTTCTCCCAGCTGCTGCCTGAGGAAGGAGCTTCCCGGTGACTTCTGGTGAAGGATCTGGAGAATCAAGCAGTTAGATGAAGCAAGCAGTTAGATGAAGATGTCATTAAACTCAGCACCCAGCCTTGGCTCGCTCACGTGGCGCTCAGGAGGGCAAGAGACTGCAGACTGCGCCCAGCCCAGGCCCATCCAGCAAGGAGCAAACCAAAACCCTAAAATTMAACAGCAGCTTTTAAACCTTAAGGGCTTTTCACAAATACCAGCCACTAAAGCAGTGATGACTTGACCTGTCCTTAAGAAGGAGCAATTTTTAAAGGCTATGAGCACATGTGATTTAATGATTTTATTTATTTTTTTTTTTAGGTTCTGTTTCAAACAAGTTTAGTTGTTGGTTACTCAGGTTGAAGTTTTTTAATCTTCGAAGAAATTACTATCGTTATTAAGGACCAAACTGGTCAAAATACTAATTTTACAGGAGCAACTTATTTGTTGGATGAAGCTGAAGATGCTGGTTTTTCACATTTTCAAAATAAAAGTTTTCTATTTCTATATACACCCCTATACACATATACACACACATCTCTCTATAATAAAAGCTTTATATATATATAAAATTACTACTGAAAACCCCAACATTACTTTTCATTCCTTCTCTCCATTTGTATGTTGTGCTACTTATTAATTTTTTCATTTTTTCTCATCTAGCATCCATGCTCAATCCCTCATGTGGAAATCTCAGCCTATTTTTGTCACAATCTAGAGTCTCACCACTGTGTTGGTATTCTCCACAGCCTTTATCATCATCAGCTTCTGTAAATCTTGTGGCTTTGCAGTTCCTTCTAACATATTTACGTCTGTTCTTTCAATTGTTGCAAAATATTCAAGATGTTCTGAGTTCTTAAGCATGAATTCCACCTGTTAAGTGTACAGTACTGCTGACTCACAGCAGGTTCAGACGGCCCTCTCCAACAAAACACCCCAGCAGTTGTTCTCCAACCATGCCAAGACAGCCTGGAAAAAGACATATTGCTCTCCCATCATCCTAATAGGAACAAGTCATGCCTATAATCTCCACAGAATCATGGAATCCTTAAGGTTGGAAGGGACCTCTAGAGATCATCTAGTCCAACCCCCTGCATACACAGGGTCACCTGAGCACATGGCAAAGGCTGCGTYCAAGTGTGTTGTGAAGACCTCCAGAGAAGCAGACTCCCCATCCTCTCTGGGCAGCCTGYGCCAGGRCTCTGGCTCTGTCACTGTCAAGGAATTTTTCCTTAAGGTCCTGTGGAACTTTTGGTGCTTCAGTTTGCGGCCCTTTAGTTCTATCAGTGACCACCACTGCAATGAGGCCGCCCCATCCTCCTCAYTGCCTCCCTTGAGGTGTCTACAGACACTGCTCAGGTCCCCCTCAGCCTCCTCTTCTCCAGGCTGAACAGGTCCAGCTCCCTCAGCCTTTGCTCACAGGGCAGATGTTCCAGGCCCTGATCATCCTGGTAGCCCTGCGCTGGACCCTCCAGCAGCTCCACATCCCTCCTGTCCTGGGGAGCCCAGAACTGGACACAGACTCCAGATGTGGCCTCACCAGGGCTGAGTAGGGGGGGACGATCCCCTCCCTCGACCTGCTGGAGACGCTCTTCTTAATGCACCCCACGATCCCGTTGGCCTTCTTGGCCACGAGGGCACGGCTGCCTCACGGTCAAACGTAACATCTTTAATCAGCCAACTCCTCAAATCACCAGGCATTTCCAACTCTCATGAAACCAGCGCTTAACCCAACCACTTACTACTTTGGGAATCGTCTAATGCAGCTTTCTTGATGCACAGCCTTGCTCTCCAGACCAYGCAAGAGAAGCTGGTTCCCAGCACCAGTTCCAATTCTCTCCGATATCATACCATATAACAATGTGAAGTGCAGCAAAGATTGGATAATAAGCCAATCTCAACAACTCATGTTAAAAGTTAACTTTTTATAAAAAACTTCAATAAACTGTGAGCAAAAACTGTCTTGCAAGGGCTATCCAGGGAAAGTTCAAAGCAGTTTCAGAGCAACAAGCCAAGTCTTTTTAGAGTGAGAAAAATGAATCACAGAGAAAAGTTGTTCCTAACACTTGAAATCCATAATTGAAGTGCTCTGAAAAGTGTGATCTACTTCCTGGATAAGTTATCTGGACAGATACTGAATAAAAAGAGTAATTTTATATGTTCTATATAGCAGATGTAGGACTTTATGTCACTTCCTGCTCTTAAAAGCTGCATCTTCATAAACTGATGAAACTTTCCAGAATTATTGTCAGTTGTAACCACTCTTCTTGTCAGAAAAATGAAACCAAGAAGATAGGGAAATAATGAAAACGAAGACCTTCTCACCCAACCAATGTGGAAATTGAGGGGACAGAAAGTGAGAGAAACAAATCCTAAACGGAAAGTCTGGAAAGGACTGAAAATGGGGACCCTAAAACATAAATCAGCACTCACAGCACTCTCACGGAGAAAAAAAATGGTATGCTGAACAAGATAGCTTAAGCAAGCAGCAAGACTACGAGTGGAAGATAAGTAAGAAGACTTTAAAATGCAAGAGCATCTACCAAGAAGTATCTAAAGCAAGACTACATTGACAACATACATATTAACACGTATTTGGGCTGTTGCCAACTCCTCAGAGCATCCCAAATAACGGCAGAAAATCCACAGTGCAAAAATCCCTCCCTTGCCCCATAATGAGTAGGTAACTGCCTAGTAAAAGAAAGTCTTGGGCGTAAGTGTGGATTTGTCCTGGGCAGACAGGTTAAATCCACCTTTGAGAGCTCTAATAAAAAGAGCTGCAACAGGTAGGCTAATTCTGGATATCTCACTGTAAAAAAAAAAAAAAAAACACCAAGAAAACAATAATTGGAAACAAAAGAAAAATCTACAGGCACAAGGAACAAGCAGGGTTTGGTCCCTTGTTTTTTAGAAGGGCAGGAACACAACACTGATACTTCTCGCTCATCTTCGCAAACACACGCACAGGCTGCACAACCTGAATTATCAGATCTCCCTARGAAAGCTGTACAGCTCCACACATTTACACAGTTTAATATAACCACTCGGGYTTGTTATGCCTAATCATTATATCTCATTACAGCTCATCTGGATGGATTACACTTTGGAAATTAGCTATCAAGTGACAGATGCCACGGATGGACTTGAGATCCGTAAACTCTGTTTGTCACCTCTTCAGCAAGGCTTTCAGGCTTAAAAATGTCCCTCCCTGAAATCCTGCATCCTCTTCTCCAGCCCACAGAGACATGAAACCTTCAGTTCATCAAGGMTCATTATGTTCTCTTGCAACATTCTGGATATGGAGCTGGTCTGTCCCACAGACCAATACATTAGCTTGTAAAACCTAATGCTGCACGCAAAACATAAAACATGAACAAATGAGAATACATCTGTGCTAGTCCTACAGCTTCAGCTGAAATGAAGTTATCTTGGAAATTATTTTTCAAGTGTTAACAGCTTTTACTCACTATTGACAAGGCATAAATAAAGAGTGCAATTTCTTGAGGTTCTTGACARTTTATCTTATCAAAATTTTAACAATGTAAGCACTTGGAAAGTTTCCTGCTTATGCAGGGGAGAAAAAAACACACAAAAATCCCCCCTATGTCTTAGCATTTACCCAGAACACTTAGCATGTCTCTGTCATGGTCCCAAGGAACTCAAACTGTACTGCATCCAGTCCATATGGGCACAGTTTCCATAGTACTCAATTCAATACAGTAGCTGGTTCCCATAAAGAAGGTCCTGGTGCCTTTTTCAACCCTGTCACTTCTCTTGAGAGCTCCCCTGCTCCCGCTGGCACGGACGAGCTGGATCAGCCTCCTGATGCAAAGCGAGTTTACTCCCCCAAGACCTTCCACCAGCTCTGTGCACAGCTCTAACTCACCACAACGCTGTGTAATTGCCACCTTGGATCCAAAGGGAAGGGACAGGAGCAAGTGGCAGGAGGTAGAAGGATGGGGAAGGGAACAGGATTCCCACTTTCAAAGGTAATTATACACGTCAGAGCTCAATAAACAAAGACACAATAAAACATATTTAAATATACTGAGGTGAAAAGCAATAATTTAGACCATGTTTTTCATTTGCTTTGTCTCGATTCCATTACCAGAGGAAAGAATTTTTAATATTGTCTTGTGCACTTGCAACTGTCAGCACTTCTTTGCCACCTGATCCTTTCCAGACACAGCGTTGAAAACACCTGTGGCTTGTACGAGATCTCATCCATCCTTTGTCTGAAAAGCTACACATTTCGTGCTGCCATCACACCTTTTCTCACCTTTCTCCCTCCACTACTTCTTCGCTCTCTATAAAATTAAGATACAGATAAAAGTATTAATACCCTATTATGCATATTTAACTCGAAAAGAAGGTATACAAGCAGATGCTCACCATGGAACGTGAGTGAAGGCAGAACACAAATGTCATACACATTGTCAGCATCTCCTTACCTTCTGTGCTTTATCCTTCTGAAATACAAAGACAGGTGGGGCAATGGCAGGCTTTTCTGCAAAAAGAGAAATCATTGTTTTCCTCCAAATGCATTAATCACAATTAAAGTGTTTTAATAAAAATGATACAGTTTTCTGATATTAGTTGTATCATACTCTTACCTACAGACCACATCAGCAGGAAAAGATCCTGTACTTTTTGAGCAAGCTTTTCCTTTTCTTATGGCGATAGGTCTTCTTTAAGAAGGGAGTATTTGGGATATAAGTTTGGAAGTCACTAGGACTCATGTCAGTGACATCTGTATTTCAAATAATTTAGGAGTTTTTTTAACCACACATTCCCAGGTCTTCAACAGCAACTCTTTCTGCTTGAAGCTCAGATTCAAAAGCTACTAGGAAGGACACTTTTCTAAATAAGAGCCCCGACACTTAATCTTCAAGCACAGAAGAAATTTCTACAAGAATGCATCTTCTCCGTTGTCCTTACTGACCTCAGAAAGGAAGAAATAAAGCAGAAATGAGTTTTTCTGACAGTTCAGTAAGCTGAGTCCTTGTGCATGAGTTCYATTTGAAGCAAAACTGCCTGTACACGATGCGGTCGGCAGCCTTCCTAAATGCTTGCASGGCAAAGGATAAGTTCAACATTTAAGCCTCTTTTCAGAGCAGGACTTCTGAAACCAGGAAACTCAGTAGGAGCTGGCATGGGTTTCTTTTCTGGCTGTTGTCCTTGTAGAAGTTCTACCATTGCAGTTATCCAATAAGAAAAAGAAAAAGTTCGTATTTAAAAGTTAAAATTCTAAGAACTTCTACTTGAAAGACTACTATAAAAGATGAACAGAAAAGCAATAAGGAAGAACTTCTACCTTGCTTATGGAAAAAGGACAGAATCACAAAATCCTCCTTAAATCAGTGGCCCTGCTGTAACATTACACAAGGACTATTAGGAACGGGCTTGCTCTGCACAGCAGCACAAAGAGGTGAAGACGCTGAACGGTGTCAATTTTCAGTCTCATTGAAGGTGCTTCAAGATTTGAGGGCCTAATCACATAATAAGCAAAGCAGATCCTCAGTAGTTACTACAACAGAGAGCAAATGCCCAAACCAAAGATCGGGAACACATGCACACCACTTTATTTAATACTAAGTTTAACTCRAGTATTTGTAGCTGTACCAAGCTATGAGAAAACTGTTTCCACAACTGGACAAACCATGGCTTTGTTCTACCTGTTCAACACTCCAAACACAACCACAGCAACTGGTAGTATCACGAGCTGCTACAATATTTCTGTCACACAGAATTTTAGCTATTTTTTTGCAGCATGAGATGGTCCCTTGATGAAACAGTCCAACAGACATGACTGTATATACAAAAACAATGCCCCCTTTGAAGCACTTTCAAGTCCCATAGCACAAAGAAAAGTCAAGATAAAACATAGAAAAAAAGGAAGGTATACTGCATATCTGCAGTTGTCTGGCTCAGAGTAAATCTCATGACAGAGATAAAGGCCAGGAAGGCAATTTTCCCCTCTGCCATAGAGATCTGTCTTAGAATCACATGATAACACAAATTTGGGAGGGACCAAAAACAGGTGATACAAAAGCAGCCTGTTTAATGGTGATTGTCTTCATTATAGGGTTTTTTCTTAGCTCATATAGCTTGCTTGCAGCATAAGCTGTTCTTCCTCTTTGCTTCGGTACCGCTCAAAACACAGCTTTAGAGCAGCCCAGGGATTCTACATGCATTCAAATCTACCTGGTATCAATACTTAAATGGAACTGCATGTGTTTTCTTTATACTGCCCTCTGGAAGGAGGAAAAGAAATAKAGAAGAGATGAGCACAAAATCTGTACCAGTGAGAGAGCACCACATGGTAATGGCTTACTGAGAGAGAAAAATATAATGTAGTAAGCCTTCACCTAATCATAAAACATTCAACTGAGAACATAACTGTGCACTCAAATGAGCTGTCCCAATTTCTTTAGAGGATATGGMAAAGCAGTTACAATATAGCCATGCCACAGAGCAAAGACAATGTGACAAAGTCTTGGCAACACTGCCTGATATAAAATAGTTTGGCAAAATGGATACATACTAAAAAGTTATTTTTAAAACTAAGTTATAAAGAGTAGAAAAAATCATGATTGAATAATTATAAAGATGAAAAGTCAGTGTCATGTTTTCCCSTCAAAATCAAAACAGACCTTGCCTTTCCCAAAAACTACATACAGGTAAATTGAATTGTAAAGTCACTAGAGGGGCGGCARTGCAGAAGGGATTTCAGTATTGTGCAACTTTGGTAAAGGATTCACACCTTTTGCTCAAAAGGAGGTACTTCATTTCTCTGGCCTTGTGCAAATTTAAGGTGGTCAGATAAAATGAACTTGTTATGATCTTGATCATAACAGACTCTGCGATTCCATAAAGTCAGGAGTGTTTCATTCCTAAACAAGCACCTAAAAAGAGAGCCTGCCAGAACAGACTTGTTCAAAGTCAAACGTGAAGAAAAACACCAAGTTTCATGCTTGAGAAAAAGAGGAAATTTTTCAATTGACCTGGAAGATGATAAAATAACATATGCTYAACACAAAGAGATCCTCTCACCTGGAGAGCATCACCTGGAGCATTTTCAGGAGTCAGTTAGACACAAACAAACCACTAGTTGTACATTAACAGGGAGTTAATAAGAGAAGCCTTCAGGCKTACGTAAATATAGGAGCGACAGGAAGATCTCTGGTTCTCCATAATATTTTGCTGCTAATTGAGGGGTTTGAAGTKTCAGTTTTAAGTCAGGAAGCAGCTAGAAAACCTACAAAGAATACCATACCAGAGACTTAATGATACACTAAGAGATGCTAGAACCTAGGAGGTAAAACTGATATATTGTTTAAAAAGGAGAAACTAGTGAATGAACTGAAACAAAGATGTGCCACAGTATAAGAGAGAGGTTAAAATATGGAGTTTCTGTTACTGAATTGAAAGGACACACGTAGAATGAGCAGCACTTCTCAAGGCCAAAAGATCCGCTGCAGCAATCGGGGCAGTAAGAACAAACTGGACAGACAAGGAAAGCTGTAGTTTAAACTTGTAAAGCAAAAACAACCTGCAAGAGTGACAGGCAATAGATACAAGTAMCTAGAAAGAGGTGTTGGTCAAATAACTAGTTTCATACTTCCTAAGAAAGCAYGGTCAAGGCAGCACTGTTCTACAGAGTGTTTGAGGAAGATTAGGAGCTCTGTTTTAACCATGCTTCATTTGTCTCCTTATGAGCATTTAGCTGTCAAATACTTTAAACAGGAAAAGACCAATGCGGAGTGGAAGATCAAAGAATTATCTGTACAGGATCAGCTATTTCATGTTTGCAAATAAGAATACTCAGGCACAGAAATGAATATTTCACCTAATACTGCAAGTACCTAAAACTGACAGATTAATATGGTTAAGAATAGCAAAGAACAATCAAAGTTCCCTGAAGACATCATTGCGATGTCAGAGACAGCAACAGGGCAAGTTGGAAGACTATGGAAGTCAGATCAGTTTATTTCTGAAGAAAGAAACTTTCTCRCAGCAAGAAGAAACAAGAGAACAGCAGGAGATGAAGACGACAACGGTGGAAGGTGATGCAAGCACAAACTAAACAGACCGGCACGTGAGTAAAGCCACTAGAGTTAAGGAAGGGATCAAAGAGAGAAAAAAAGAAGACACCGGGGAACAAATAGGGCTCACACTTTTTCTCTCCTCCAGAGAAAGTGAACAAGTATTTTCCCACAAAGAGATGGACAGGTAGGTGTAGAAACACATGACAAGTCTGCACCAAAATACATAAAAAAACCCTGTCACTTTGGAGTCTACCTTTAAGTTTAACGTTTATCATTAGAATGGGGAGTTAAAGTGAAGAGAACGCTGGTGCTAAAAGAAACCAACCRGCCATCAAAGCTAATTATCAAAGGTCTGAGGCCACATTCATCACCAAGAATTAACACCAATCTGAATGTTCACTACTGTTTTGAAATCCATTATTGTGACTATCTGGACACTAATGGATCAACGTCAGTTTGGGAATCAACAGCCGAAGACAAACTGTATCCCAGGGTTTGTCAAATAATCTAAATGCAGTTGTGTCATCAGTTGCCTGAAGGATGCATCCTCAGAACCTATTCCTACAATTAATGTTTGTTTTCTATTGTCCCACATTAACATCAGAGTCACTGCTTGCAGGGCAGAAATGCTCTCAGAAAGGACTTATCGTTCCCATTTTTGCTCTCCTCCTTGAACACGTTTTCCCTCCTTCATTAACCAGAGAAGAAGGACGGAGAACAGCACAAAGCACTGGGGCTGAGCTTGTGCTACCCTCGATTTGCAGGAAGCTGCTGCTCCTCAAAGGCAAACTGTTGACACGCTGCATGCATTAAGCAGCATCTCACACACTGCCAGCCGGAGCAGCACATCCATACCTGRCACTCAGGCAGCCTACATCCCCTAACACCTTCCAGGGAAAAATGAAAGCCCTGTTTCTTTACTTTGAGAGGTTTTAAACTATGCAAATAATCGTTAGGACTTCACCTATTTTTCCATAACAGCTCCCATTTGCTGGGATTAAGCACGAGTGGGGGGTGAGGAAAGACTTACAAGAGACGAGAAGTTACAGATGGGCAATGGCCCTGGTGAGCAGCGAGGAAGGGAGTGATACGAGGGCACCGAGGGGCCTCAGCGCCGGACTCGACCCTCGGGGGCGGTGGGCGCGGGGCCCGTTCCCCACGCGTGGCCCGGGCGGGAGCAGCGACCCCCGGAAGCGCCGCCGGGCCCGGCGGGGAGCCCCTCGCCGGCTCTGCCGCCAGCAGCGAGGCCGGGCCCCGCACGCAGCGCGGGGGCGACATCTCGCCCCCTGCCCGCTCCCTTTGTCCGGCCGCTCGGCCCGGAGGTGCCAGGAGGCCGCGGGCGCCCGCGAGGACGAGCCCGCTGCCCTGGGGGCGGGCGGCGGAGGCGGGCGTGGGCTCGGCGGGGCCGCTGCCGCCCCCCGGGGCCGCGGGGACCGCGCCCGGGAACCCCACACGCCACCAACCTCCCCCTACCTTCGTTCGCCAGGTCCGCCATTTTACTTCCTCAATCGCGCCCACAATGCATCGCGCCGCCGGACGGYCTCCCCTTACGGGGCTGTGGGCGGTAGCGGGGCGGCGCATGCGCAGAGGGACGGACGCGCCGCTCGGTCGCTGCGCATGCGCGGGCGGCCCGGTCCGGGGGGGCCGTGCACGTGGGTGCGGCGGCCGCGCATGCGCAGGGACACGCCCCCTTCTCCACCCCCCCCCCCCGCCCGCCTTGACAGGAGGCGGCGCGACTGAGGTAAAAGCGAGCTGCCTTAGTGCCCCACAGTGCAAAATTTCTCCAAGTAGTTTTRTACAAAGAAAGGGAGTTTTCCTGCTGCTGGCTACAGCTGCACAAAGCCGTGTTGGAGCTGAAATGCTGAAGGCCCAGCAAAAATGCCTGGAATTGGTTAAACTTACCCAACCACTAAGGAAAACCTGAGGATAAAATGTCTTCCTCGGGAGTGGGGTGTTAAAGGCTTCACGTGTGAGCTCCCTGTAGCAATAAACAGGCATTAACCTCGAGGCCTTTTTCTGTTGCTGATGGAGGGGAAAATGACAAGCACATTTCCTCTCAGAAACATAAAGCTTGAGCTGAAAACTTCAGCATGTTTCTAATAATATGAAGACCATAATTTTCAGGGACCTATACTGCAGCT